ACTTGCTCATGTGCCTATTGATAGTGGTGGCTTCATTGCCGGCCCAAATCTCTTGTAATCACAACATTGGCCATCTTGGTCACATGCGTGGGATAGATAGCGAGCGACGCTCCAGGCAAGACTAGGCGAGAAATCAACGATCATCATTTCTGCATGTATTTCATAGTTCCTGTGTTAGTGGGATTTCGGTTGGCACTATGAAGCAGGCAACGTGCGACTACTATGAGTAGCGTGGTGCGACTACAGTACTTGTGCCGTAGGGCGAGTCACTAGCCCTGTCGTACAGGATCAAGAAAGATGTGGGCTACTGTAGGTCCCGGGTTGACTTGTTCAATGCGGAAAGCATATACAGGATCTACTGCCCGCATGGTTCGGATCTTAAGAGTTAACCCCGGGATTTGGAAAAGAGACGAATGGGGGTGAAGAGATTTAGGCGCGGTCTTGTCTTGATGCGGGCCGGGTGATTTAGTTCCAGAGGGGCGCTGAAACAACCTTTAATTTACTTATATGCGTAGTAGTCTTTGGGAGAGGGGGGGGGGAGGGGGGCAGCCTAGATGTTGAGCTAAGCTTAGGAGGGGGGATTTAAGGGTTCCTGGATGAGATCCGAATCGAAGGTTTTTGTTTTTTGGTCGACTAGTTAGCGGCAGTCTCCGAGCGTGGGAATGGTTCAGGTTGGGATTGGGAAGAGCTTAAGCCTTACTAGTGCACCCTCGCTCAGTACTAGCGAGTACCTGAGCCCTCCGTTCCAAGTTACTAGATGCTTACATACTTTAGTACACGGCCCTTCCCTCTTCCCCCCTCCCCTCCCCGGAGCGGCGCGCGGAAAGGAATCGGGAGGGGGTGGAAATGTCTGAGCGCCCGAAGGCCCCAGAGCCTATCGGGCGGAAACTGCTGCCTGAGGTTTACTTAGTGAGTTAGTGCGTACCGCCGCATAGTACTAGGTAGTACTAAAATGACCCTAACAGGAAAAGACTATTTTTCTGAAATAGTAAAAAAGCCTTTTAAGTCTCCTAAATAGTTAGACTAATGCAGATTCAGTAACGCTAGAGCATTCTTACTATCGGGACTAAACCCACTGTGGTATTGCAACGGGCTGCTGCTGGCGCCCGCTGCGGCGCGGTCTACTGGGTAGCGACTACGACTAGGAGGGAAATGGCTCCATACTTGCATTCATGCCTCAGGCATTAACATGGGCATGACCAGGCAGGACCTCTCGGAAAAGGAGTAACATACCACTTCTGGAGTGACTGGCAATCTAACCTCTTCAGGACTAGCTGGGCTCAAATCAATCCGAGATTCAGAACACCGCGGAGTTTGCGGTCCAGATACCGGAGCTCGTTGCTGCACCCAACGCTCTTCCTTTTCTGTCTTGTTGTACTTATGAAATTCCTTGAGATCGAAAAGTCTGTTATTATCTCCAGGAGCTGTCGTTTTTCAATAGACTGAACGCCATTTTCTTGTTTCTTTCGTTGTTCGGGTGAAGAGAAAAAAGAAAGCAATAGATATCTCCAACTTTTGCCTCATCTCCGCAATTTTTTTTTTCGCGCCGCGTCTCCGGCCTTCACCTCACCACTTCAGCCTCCCATTACACACGGAATCCTCTGGGGAACTATTGCCACCGTCACTGCTGGGCTAATCTGAAGTCGACTCAAACCTATAACGTCCGGTTTCCAACGCTTCGAGGATTAGACGAAAATCCGAATCTAACCCTCTTTCCCGACCCTACCTCCATGCTGGTGCACTGAAATCACAAAGCCAAAAGCTCCACCGATGCGCTTTCTACAAGCGAATTCTGCTACTAGACGAAGCATGGCGATGAGACTTCCACTCAGTGCGCAATGCGCTCGAGCTGCCGCCCGGAACAGCAAAACCACCACCACCGTCGGCAGCAATCACGCCTACACCACCCTCTCCTCAGCCGCCAGCACCAGCACCAGCACCAGCACCAGAAACACTGAATCCCTTCGGCGAGCCATTCTTCCCACCTCGCAACAACAGAAGTCGCACCAAAGCCCCACATCGACACCCGTGAGCTGGAGCAGGGCCGCCTCCTCTGATGCAGTGGTCCGGAAATACTGGAATGGCTTCCTGGAGCTCCAGCCGAAGCCGAACCAACCCGCGGCCGTCTCCAAGAAGAACAAGGAGCTGCAGGAGTTGCTGCTCAAGGTCGCGGAGGTCGGTACCTCGCCCAGGCTCCGGATGCAGGAGGCCTCGCTGCTGGGCGACAGACATACGCAGAAACAGGTGGAGATGGAGCTGAAGTGGCTGCCGGACCCGAAGCGGCTGGCGGAGCGGGTAGGTCGTCTGCTGCAGGCGAGGGAGATCATCATGGCGGCGGCGCTGGTGCGCGCGGCGCAGAAGGAAGGACGGGAGTGCATGGTGGCGTGGAATCATATCTTTGAGTATTGCATGAAACAGGGGGCGACCATGGCGGCGTATAAGTTCTACACGGATGTAAGTTGTGCTTCCCCCTTTCAGTCTCTTTCTACGGTGTCTTGCGACGGTTAGATCTCTGCTTTGCGGGTCTTGGTGTGAAGGTGGATGATGGGCTTTCGCTGATTGTTGCAATTTTGCGCAGATGAAAAAACGTGGACGCAGACCCAACTCCCACACCTATACGATCATGATGAATGGGTTCAGTATCTATAATCCGCGGGAGAAGGCGAAGAATGTGGACGCCGCGATGCGTGTATATCGGTCTATTGAGGAGAACCCGGACGTGGAGCGGGACATCATCCACAGCAATGCTATGCTCAAAGTTTGCTGGCTCCAGGAAGACATGGATACCTTGTGGCGGGTTGCGGGAGATCTCCCCGAGGAAGGGCCCGGATCACCCAACGCTCACACTTACACGATCATTCTGCGCGCTATTCAGAGTCGCCTGGAGCGTAGCACGCAGGATATTCCCTCCAAACATGTCCGCCCGCACTGCGAGAAGAGAAAGACGGCCATCACTGAAGGCAAGCGGGTTTGGGCTGATGTTGTTTACCGCTGGAAGAAAGGCCAGCTTCAGCTCGATAACCACCTGGTCCATTCGATGGCTGAGCTGCTCTTGAATGCGTTCAGCGACTACAATTGCTGGGAGGTGCTGGCTCTGTACAACCAGACGGCGGGACTGCCCATTTTCGCCAACAAGCCCTCGCCGGAGAAGGAATACGAAGATAAGTGGGCAAACAAGCGGCATGGGAAGCGTCGTGACGGGCCGGATGCCGACTATTTGCCCTTTGTGAACCACAACAACGAGCCGATCGAAACCGAGGCTACTAAGGAATCGGAATCGGAAATCGTGGAGGAGGAGGAGCAGGAGCAGGAGCAGGAGAACTTCGATCACTTGTTCGATCCTGTAAACGGTGCCACCGGCTCTTCAGCCCCAGCCCTGATTACCCTCGGTAACCGAGAGATTGACGTGGTGCTGGAGGCTTGCCTAACCATGGTGCAAGGAATGCGACCTGGCAAACAGTACTGGGAATACCTGACGCGCGAGGGCCACGCGGATCTGATCAAGCCTGATGCGGCTGCGATTCACCAATACCTACGTCTTCTCCGCTACAGCCGATCGACCCGGGAAGCCATCGCGGTGATCCGCGACCAGATGGTGCCCGCTGGGATCACCGATCCCAAAACCTTCCACATTGCAATGAGTGTCTGCCGGCGCGATACCCGCAATGGAAACATCTTGCGACTGGCCGATGAGATGCTCGATATCATGGAGGGTGCGCTCGTCCTTCCGGAGCCGCGTGCTCTGGTGGGTTACCTCGATCTCGTCCAGTCTCTGAAGGAGAATCCTCAGCTTCTGCTGTCGTTGCTCGGCTTGGAGGGTGCCTGGAAGGCTCGGGCGAGCAACTTCCAGGACAAGGGCCGGAGCTTGTACGTGGGGTTACAGCTGCACGCCGTCAAGAAACTGTTCCCCCATCTCATGAAATTGGACGAAGCCACGTTACCGTACCTCCCGAAGACGGAGGAGTATGATACTGCGGACCTCCCTCCGCCTCACAACCGCGACTCGACGTTCGGGCTCTATGGCTCGAAAATCGCCCAGGCGATGAACGAAACAGGGAGAGTGATTGACGAGCTGGTACAGCGGCACAGAAACAAGAACTTCTTGAGTAAAGAACTCCTTGCGGATCTGCAGGAGAAGCGAAGCATGCTCAAGAAATACTCCCATGCCCGGATCAACAGGCATATTCGAGATATTCGCGTGGATGCGACTGCCAGCCAGGTCGAAGCATTTGACCAGAAGCTGGAGAAGCAGCAGCAGAAGCAGGAGAAGCAGGAGAAGCAGGAGAAGCAGGAGAAGCCGCAGGCGGAGGTGGAAGAAAAGACAGAGGTAGCCGATGCGAAGGCGGATTAGTCTCGGCACTGTATAGAACCATCATCACCTCTCCCAACATGTACTTTTGTCATCTATAGCATTTCCAGGGCGTTGGTATATAGGTCTTGTTTGTTTGTACAACAACATACTTCTTTCTCTTCTGTTTAGATGATCGGTGGTATACAAGAGGCAGTTGTTCGGTGTAAATAAAAGTACCAAAGTCCATTTCGACATCATGATGATCAGTCTTGTTCATCGGAGAATTATTTTATTGCATTGATAGATTGATAGATTGATAGACTGATAGCGAGACCATCGCATCGGACAGGAAGGGTTTCCGCCTGCCGCTTTCAGCCCGTGGTGTGCGTACGTAATGGAATGAATGCCACTCTAGCCTCTCCTCCATCCGTCACAACAACCGGCCCGAAGAGCAATCATTCCATTCCCATTTCACTCAATCCGAGCTCTACTCTTGTTCCTGCTCGCCATCTCTTTTCTCTCTGGGTACAGCCGGACTGTCCAGGTGATCCTCCGGCAACTTTACGAACGTGCAGTGAATTGCTGTGATTATCCTACTCTTTCTCTCTCTATTGTCCTCGGATTTGGTTCCTGAGCTTTCCCTCTCGGAGCCCATAACGACTCCCCCCCGTTGTTTGGAGCTTACGATATACCATCCCCCCCCTACTTTGCTAGCCATGGCCAGCGCACAACAACCCCTCTACTCCCACGGGGATCTCCACGATGATGAATCCATTTTGGATGACGACATGATCGAGTCCGACGAGGGTGAGTTTGCAGTAAACACGGTGGTCCGGGGACGTCCTTGGTAGGGGCATTCAACAGCTAACTCCGAGCGCGCGCGCGTGATTCTTTCGCGCATCGCGCATTTTTGAAACCATTAGCAATCGAAGCCGATGATCCCCTCCATGATACTACCGACCGGACCCCGCTTCGCGGCAACATCCAAGGCGAAGCATCTAGCAGCTCACGCGGCGGCGGCGGCGGCGGCGGCGGCGGCGGCAGCAGCAACTTCGCGGGGAATTACCTCACTTCATCAATTCCCGGCGAGGACCGTCGCGCAACCCAGAGTACCATCGATGAAACTGTGTGGGAGACCCTCTCGCGGGACCTGCGCGCCGTGTGGGAGAAGATGCGGCAGGTGCTGTGGCCCAAGTACTTGATGGGCGGCATGTTGCAGCGGGGTGGAGGCGGGTTGGCAGCGGCGGAACGGGGTGAAGCCAGTGGCTTTGGTGGCGGCGTTCGCAATCTGGTGGGCAGGTGGCCGGATGCTGATGTCGTGTTGCAGGGGGGTATGAGTGAGGGGTTGAGGGATTGGGATCTTTGGTATGTTCTTTTTCTCTTATCCGGCTTCAGTGTCCTCTTGCGCTACAGGAAAGCTTGGGGTGGTTTTTAACTACGATACTGATGTTCTTAAATCGGATGGTAGGGGACCTCTGATTTTCTGCCTGCTGCTGAGTATGTTTCTGTCGATGCGCGCCAAGGGAGATCAGTCGTCTTTGGTGTTCTCCGGGGTGTTCTCGATTGTGTGGATTGGTGAGGCGGTGGTGACGTTGCAGATTAAGTTGCTGGGTGGCAACATGTGAGTTTTCCTGTCTCCTCTTGGGTGTCATGTGCTAACGGGGTGTTTTCGTCGATCTAGCTCCTTCTTCCAGTCGGTCTGTATTATTGGATACACATTGTTCCCGTTGGTCATCGCGGCTCTGCTCAGTGCGCTGGGTCTGCCGACCATTGCGCGCATACCGGTCTACTTGGTGCTGGTGGCGTGGTCGTTGGCGGCGGGCGTGAGTATCCTAGGCGGATCGGGAGTGGTGCGCAACCGAGTCGGGATTGCAGTTTATCCATTGTTTGTGTTCTATGTGGCTATCGGATGTCTCTGCTTCATCAGTTGAGAGGGCGCATGCGGACTTAAAAACTGGGTGAGGTGGTGGGAGTGTGGTGCTGAGCAAGGGAGGAACTATAGCTAGGCATAGAGGAAGAGGGAGGTGGATGTCGGGGGGTTGTGTTGTCGTTTCCAGTCGAGGCCGACCATTGAACGGACTGTTCTGTGTTGTTCCATAGTAGCGTTTTCTATCTGAAAAATGTTTGCAGCCAATCTGTCATTTTGCGAATAGGACATTAATCCCAATAGTCTTGATGATAGGAGTAGTGGCAGTTGGTTTACATGGGCGGAGGGGAAGCGAGCGGTGACGGGAGGGAAGTCGACGGGGCCGGGACCGGGGAGGGCGCCAACACAACAACAGCCCGGGCCATCTCATCTTCCAACTTGTCGTCCTCCTCACCCGCTCGCACCTCGCTTGCTTGCCCGTCCTCGACACCGCTGGCTGTCGCTCTCTTTTTCTCTCTCTTTCTATACATTACCCCCTTGGGTGTTCGTTTCAGTCTCAACTGAACTCAGCTACCATCATTGCCGGTAGCTCCTCAGCCCCGTCTCGCCCAGGATCCTTCAACCTACTCTCTATCCACGGAACGAGCAGCTTTCGGGCGATCGTGAGCCGGCTCTGACGTCTAATCCACCCTCAACAGCCTCCGCGCAAACCCAGAACCCCCCTTAACACTCCCCCTACGAGGTTCGATCTCTAGGTAAGTCGTTGGTGGCTCTTCCCCCGCCTATGGAGAGCGACGATCACATCAGGAGTTTCCCCTCCATTCCTTCCTACCTACACCCGCAGCCCAGAAATGCTGCGGGCAGAGAGCCAGTCGTCTCTTTCCCGCAAGCAGACCCAGATAAGCCTCGGCCCTTCTCCTAGGCCGATCGAATTTGGGTTTTGCTGGCCCCGGCGTGCTTCAGCTTGTTTTAATTTGTTCGCTTTGCGGGAAGCTAACGTCGAGTTTGCTTGTGGCTCAGACAGTACAGAATCTGCGTTTGTTTACGGTCCGGTTTCTGTCCACCACGTCACCACCCGCCAATCGTCCTAATCCAAGTATCCGACACACACACACATACACACGCTGAGGCTGTGTCAACTCCCCGCGCGCTTGCTACAATTTAAACACAAGATTTTCTACCTCGATCGAAGATGGCGCCGGAGCAGCAGCATGCTGGTGGGGCACAAGGTACATACTCCCAGCATATTCGACCTTGGTTTCCATATTGTGTGTTTATCCTGACAAGAGATTTTTCTTGCGTGTAGTAGAGGAAGTCCCCCAGCCCTCGATAACCGCTCAGGGTAGGTTCCTAGCCGGTTCAAATATAGTACCCGCCCGCGAACGACCACTAATTCTCCTCTTCAGTCGCGGACGACTCCCAAGCATCGGATAACGACGGCGGAGAGCGCCCCGTTCGCAACAAGCTCAAGGAAACATCCATCACCTCGGTATCCAAGGCCGACGACGACGCCGGCCCGCAGGAGGGGGAGACCAGTCGAGCTAGCAGCCGAGGCCGGAAACGGTCTTTCGATGAGGATCAACCCGATAAGATGGAAGAGGACTCGGGTCATCGACGGAAGAGATCGCGCGACTCGAATACAGAGGAGGGGGAGGAGGATGAGAGCAATGTCGCCACCGTCGACGCGCCGTCGCAGTCAACGGAGGACCTCTCACGCAAGATCCTGAGTCCGAAGAAGAAGCGGAGTCGCGACCAGCTGGATAAGGACGAGGCCAAGCCGGCGGAAACCACGGAACCCGTCGATCAGTCCACTACCGAGAAGGAGGTTGCGACGGAAAAGTCGGCTGCAGAGGGAGAACCTGAGAAGAAAAGACACCGGGATGATTCACAGGAGCGGGAGAGAGTAGGTGTTTCATGAAAGGTTGTGTTCCTTTTACATCCACTAATCCGTCTGCAGGCCTCAATCCCTAGCGGATTTGCCAACACTTCGGCCGTGTCACCTTTCGGGGTCTTGGGTGCAAGCAAGCAAGAGTCCTCCGACCCCAGCGAAGTCAAATCATCTTCGGCCTTTGCGGCGTCTAGCATGGCGGCGTTCGCCAAGTCGGAACAATCGCCTTTCGGCACCTTGGGTAGTTCGACTTCCTCCTCTATCTTCAAATCGTCGACGTCTTCAGACTCCAGTAAGCCCGCTGCTACCGGGTTTGCAGCTGCAGCCGGTGGGTCCGGCTTCGCTTCCCTGGGATCTGGTTTCGCGGGATTCAGTGGTGGCTTTGGATCTGCAGCACCTAAGAGTGCGCTTACGAGTTTCGCTTCTCCGGCGGCGCCCAGTGTGCTAGGCAGCTCGAAGCCTAGCGCTTTTGGTCAGCCGGAAGAAGAGGAGAAGGAGGGAGAAGCAGAGGAGGCCGATGCCGGCCCTGCCGAGTTCGAGCAGGACAAGACGGACGAGCGGTTCTTCGAGAGACCCAGTAAGTTCAATCCATGGAGTAGGTGGTCCCTGAGTTGACGTTTGTCTAGTCGAAACCGGCGAGGAGAATGAAAAGACGTACTTCTCGTGCAAAGCGAAACTGTTCCAATTCAGCAATAAGGAGTGGAAGGAGCGCGGCATTGGCACATTCAAAGTCAACGTACGGCTGACGGACGGGGTGGAAGATAAGAAAGCGGCCCGGATGATCATGCGTGCCGACGGCGTGTTGCGGGTGATGCTGAACACGCCCATTTTCAAGGGGATGACGGTCGGCGATGCAAAGGGCCAGGCGCCCAAGTCGAAGCAGATCCATCTTGCCAGTTTGGAGGAGGGCCGATCGGTTCCGCTCCTGTTGCGGGTGAGTATCCTTCCACGAAGTGACCAAAGGGAGCATGTGCTAATGGAGTGTGTAGACGGGAAGCGAGGAACTGGCGAACGAGCTGTACAATGTGGTGAAGGACTTGCAATCGCATCAGTGAGAGTCTTTGGGGCCCGCGGTTGAAGTGGGGATCTCGTCGGCATTCTGGAGACGGGAGAATTGGATTTATACTACTGGCTGGGTCTATACATGCTTTGGGATGGGGAGGATTATTGATTGCCTCACACACATGCATATCTGGAGGGTAACAGACCCTGTCTGTGTGGGTAGGTAGGAGTTAAAGACTTTGAATACCGTGAATAATGCATCTCCTATGTTACTTGACTGTGACTGTTATCAGGACCGGGGGGCCAATCAGGCCGTTGCACGAAATTAACTACTCGGACGGAAACTACGTAATGCTTGGTAGTGCAGTTTGTTGACGACAGCCAACCTTGAACCCTGTTTTGATTTCTTCTCCCCATTCTTTGTGTCGGTTTGTCGTGGATTGCTTAAATCGAAAAGAAAGTATTCACAATGCCCCGTCGGGATATTTTTGGGCCGGAGCATTTATGCCTCCATCACCACCCCAATGGCCATGGCCATGGCCATGGCGATCATCATCATCATCATCTCCACCTCCACCTCACCCACGCCACCGGCGCAATCCCCTTTCTCAACCCAACTCATGCCGCGTACCGAACCACCACCTCTTCCTCATCTTCATCCTTGTCCTCAACCAGCGCAACCCACCCCCAAATCTACCGCCTCTGGCGCTCCCGCGACACGCGCAAAGGTCGCCACGCCCTCCGCATCACCGCCAGTAGCGCACCACCCATCAGCCCCCGAGACCAAGAGCAAGAGCAAGAACAAGCCGAACCAAAGCCGCCGCGCCTAATAACAACAGCGCATCCCCAAGCCATCCTCCGCACCCTCAAAAGCATGCTCACCACCTTCCCCTACTGGGACCTCTCGTACCTCGTCGCCGTCACCTTCACCCTCGGCTCCGCCATCTGGATCGTCAACGCGTTCTTCGTGTGGCTGCCGCTGCAGCTGCCCGGTACAGTGTTCCCGGGGGAGGAGGCCGCGGGCGGCGGGTGGACGGCGTTCGTGGGGGCGGCGGTGTTCGAGGTGGGGAGTTGGGGGTTGGTGGTGGAGGCTTTGGTTTCGGGTCGTCCTGGGGATCACGGGGATCACGGGGATCATGGGGAGGACCAGGACCATGACCATGGGGATTTGGGAATGGGGATGGGGTGGTGTTGGGGGTGGGATGTTTCCTCTTTGGACCCTGCGGATCCTTCGGATTCTTCGGGGCTGGGGGTGTCTTTAGGGTTCGAGGAGAAGGGGATGGGCAAGGAGCAGAGTGACGGGGGTACCGGGACTACTGGGGGTACTGCTCAGCAAGGACAGCCCCCACGAGGATCAGATACGAATGCGAACGCGAACGCGAACAAGATCCCCGGGACGGGTACGGGTACGGGCACAGGCACAGGCACAGGCACAGGCAGTCTGATCCTCCGCCCCAGTACGGAAACCTGTATATGTCATCATTCGAATCGGAAGTCACTGTTGTCATCGTCGTCGTCGTTGGGTGGGAAAAATGCCGCTACTGCCGCCACTGCCCTGACTGGTTTCTCTGCGGGAGCTGCTGCTGCTGCCGCTGCTGCAGATACATCCGCCTCCCGCCCCCAACGCACTTCCAAAAAGGTCAATCACTACCTCCACGACCTCGGCTTCCTGGCCTCCCTCGCCCAGCTCGTCGGCGCCACCATCTTCTGGATCGCGGGCTTCACCGGCCTCCCCGGCATCATCGGGCATATGAGCCTCCCCCTGACGGACGGGGTGTACTGGGTACCCCAGGTCGTGGGCGGGGTGTGCTTCGTCGTCAGCGGCGGGCTGTTCACGCTCGAGACGCAGGAGCGGTGGGATCGGCCCGCGTGGCGGGTGCTGGGGTGGCATATCGGGGTCTGGAATCTGGTGGGCGGGGTCGGGTTCACCCTGTGCGGCGTGTTCGGGCTGGTGGGGATGCAGTATCAGGCGTGTCTGGCGACCTTCTGGGGGTCGTGGGCATTTCTCTGGGCGTCAGGGTTGCAGTGGTATGAGAGTTTGGAGAAGTGGCCGGTGGAAATGGAGAAACACCACCACCATCATAACCATCACGTGTGAATGGGTGAATTTCGACTATACAACTCAATTGGCTTCTATAGGGGGATCTTGGAAGAATATGCTGGGAAAGAAACAGAGACACAAAACAATGTGGTATACAGACCACCCAATCAGGAACCGTAACTCCCTGGAAACAAACACAACACAACAAAAAGAAAGACTATTGTGTCTTGATTAGCCAACCCACACAACCAATCGCACCACTTCCCAACATGATTGTCAGAATCCACGCGCCTGCGCGATCTGCCGTCGTGATGGGCTTCGATTCTGACGGGTTCTTCTCGTCGGCGCTCGTGTCAATGTGGTGCTCCGTGGCGTTGGGATTGGTGTCAATCGTCTGCGGCGACTGACTGGCCAGCAGCATCAGCTGTGAAGTGACGCCGCCCAGTGCACTCATCTGGACTTCAAGTCCCAGCGAGCCGTCCCACGAGGGTTGGTACCAGCGCACGCCGCATAAGTTGCTCATCCCATCGGCCGTACCTGAGCACTGCAAGCCGATGGCCTCAACGGACCCTGCGAGCTTGGGGGCAATAAGATCCCTCTTGGACGGCACCAGGATTGCCGTGAACGCCAGCCACATGGCGACGTAACCCTTGAAGCAGAGCTGGTTGCGGTCGCACGATAAGATCGGTTCGCACGCCACCTCGGATAGAACCGAACCGTTGCCGTAATTAGTGCTGCTAAACTGGGTCGGGAAGAACTTCGCAAAGGTTGAATCGAGCAGGCGGCTGACGCGCTCCTCCCATACAGCGCTTCCATTGGTCTAACACACATATTAGCAAAATCTCTCTAATTGTCGCCCGGACAATACGTACGTAGTTGTACATGAAGGCCGCCCCCGATAGATACGTCCCGTAGTTGTAAGTCCACTGGTTGTTACCCGCGTCTTTGCAGTCGGCCTCATTGGAGGTCGAATCGGCAATGTTCCAGATCGTAAGGTTTGTGTTCAGCAGTGGGGTCGTCGAGGACCAGTCCCAGATCTTCTCCGCCCATTCGGCGTACGTTTCATTCTTGGTGAAGCGGGCCAGTCGCGCCGACAGCTCGAACAGGCCTCCGTTCGAGATGGCGTTCTTCATGGTGTACCCCGCTTGGTACGGCCAGACCTGCCACCGCATGCCTCCGTTGCAGGTCTCGTTATCCCAGCGATTGACCTGCATGTTGAACACGGCGCGTGCAAGCGAGGTCCACGACGGTTTGCCATCACGCTCGGGTAGGCCAGCCTCGGAAGCAGTGATTGCCGCCAAACCCCAGAACATTTGATCATCGTTACCCTGTGTTTATTCAGTCCCGCTCTGTCCAAGGAAACCAACACGTCAGAAAGCGAGGATCATACCAGCCACTGACTGTAATTGGCGGAGAAGAAGTCGTAGTTCTCGCCAGCCTGGAACATCAGGTCATGCGAGACGACCGAGTTGTAGGTATCGACGCCCGACGCCTGCCAGAATTGGATGAGGGTCATGAACATGCTGCCGGCAATGTACCAGGTGTCGGTGAGCTTTCCGGGTATGCCTTCGGTTTGATTTTGTTGGTAGAAGGTCATCATGGGGTCGGCGATGGCCGTGCCGGCAGTCGCGAGGGAGTCTACAAAGCATTGCGGGATGAGCGGGACAATTGCGGTCGATTCAGGGTTCGGGGTACCTACCAGCATCGTTCACTTGGATGTTTAGATCGGCCTGAGCTAGGCCACTGGCCAGACACAGCCAGATTGGAAGCTGTTGAAGGTAGCGCGATAGGGCAGGCATGGTGGGCGGGGCGTGTGTATGTCGCCTCGGGGTAAATGTGGAGGAATGTTCAGAGAGGAGGAAGGGGACGGACGACAGCGACAGCAGCAGCAGCGGCGGCGGCGGCGGCAACGACAGCAGCAGCAGGCAACCATCAGGGAAGAAAAAGCAGGTTTGCTCGACTCAGGGGGGTGGGTTGTTGGACGGACTGAGACGCCAAGGGTGCCAAGGGAGGCATTGGCACGACCGGCCAAGAGTTGTATTTATGGAACATCCAGCGAGGGGGATTGGCATTGGTATTGGCATTATGGGGGGGTGGAAAGATGCCAGATGGGCAGAAAGAATGACATGTAACCAGTGACCACCGAGAAGGAAGGGACTGGAGGAGGGAAGTGGAAAGTGGATGGCCAGCTGCTTGCTATTCAGGGACTGGACCCTGTCGGTGGCAGTCCCTGGTTTTCCCCGGATCTGGAGATCAGTCGGTAGTCAGTACGGAGTACTGACTCGGGCTTGCTGGCCTGAAACCCTTCCAAAATAGCCCTGAATGTCTGACAGCCGCCCTCGGATCACAGGGCGATCTGCGATCTGCGTAATTGGTCCGAGCTGCGAGACCATTGACTCCCGTGTTGCATTGTGTTAGGGGGAATGAGTGAGGGAATGATCCGAAGATGACTTGTGATTGAAGATAGAATAATCGGTAAGTTGGGAGGCAGCAGCAAACGATAAGAGGATCGACGGCTAAAGAACGCCCGCTTCCTGCTTGCCGTTTCCAGTTAGCCAGATAAATTGCTCCTCCCAGCTTGGACAATCGCTAGATTGACAGTTAGCAATTGGCAATTGATGTCATTGCATACCGACAAAGGAGGAAGAGGCACGGTATGGCTTAAATCGACGAGGCTTGAAGAGGAGGGAAGACTGAATAGACAGATATCAACAAAATCAATCGAACCGAGAAAGCCATACACATAAGAGAGAGGAAGGAGACTCCAAGAGTACTCGTGCATGCAGCATCCACGGAAAAAGAAATGCCAAAAAGATTCGACCGGGACGCGACTCGAACGCGCAACCTTTTGTGCCGAAAACAAACGCGCTACCATTGCGCCACCCGGCCTGTTTCTATGACTAACTACGTAAGAGCTTGCATCATATATTACTCATAACTAGCTCATAAGCCACGCAAAGGCAACATCGGTTTCATCTTCGTCATATTATGTTGCTGTCATCTCGACAACAGAGGCCGAAATTGGGCAAGTGGTCATATAGGACTATGTATAATAGTGCTCTCTTTCGCCAGAAGGCAAGCGTTACCATATGTGCATACGTATAGATATACGAATGTCAGATACACCGTGCAAACTTTGTGTGCATTACTCATCCTCCGCCAAGAAATATTTACGTGTCACCAACTGAGTGCGATGTATGGCATGCAATGCTTTAGCCAGCAGTCATATCACCGCCTGAGCAGAGCAAAGGACATACCCCATATGTACTATCGTATCTAGTATATACAGTGACCGCCGCGGGAACTCTGCAAGTCCGCACCGGTTTTGGCTTCACCTCCACGAACAGCCTCGCACATCCCCACTATCAGCCCCCCCTCCCCGGCCTCGTGTACAAAGCTGGGTATCCAAGAAGCAAAATTATATATAAATCGAGACGAGGCAGGGGAGCAGGACGTGGGTCGGATGACAGAGGTATCCCAACTCAGCAGGTCGATCAGCCAGCCCACGCTCGAGGGCTGTTATGAGATGGGGTTGGGAAGAAGGAGGGCTAGACACATCTCGCGCTGTTCGCTCAATCACGCCCTCAGTCGCTCGACGTTCCCCGCCTTATTTATTATCCCGAGCCGATCTATATTATGATCGTGATATAGCGTTATAACGGACTAGCATCGATTCATGTGGGCCGTGCATCTGCCGCATGGGGAACCGAAACCGGACTATTATCACTCTCCGTATCATCTAGGCTGATATTCCAGAACAACGCTTTCATGTCGCGCACATCCTCCCGGAAGTGATCGCGAGGATGCGTGATGCGCTCTTCAGTCATTGCGCGGACCTCGCGAATGAGGTCTGGATAATTCTCGTCATTGGGAAGCCACCAGCGGTCAATTTCCGGCAGTTGCCAGATTGCCGCCATTGCTGATCGGAATCGGGCTGCCACAACATAGCTTAAATTGCGTCAGCACCATAACAATACCCATTGCTCGAGATCACTCACCCCTGTTGTTCCAGTGAGGCGAATTTCCGCCGCGCCCACATGATATATTTCTCCTGCTTGGGGAGGAACATAGCCGCCATGCCAATGCTGTTTTTAAACGCCATAATTGCACCGTTCTCCTTGCCTGGCCAACGATCGACCGACTCCATTAATCGACATTGTTCCAAGGAAAGTTCCTCCAACTCGGTGATTGACGTTTGACGTAGGGCCAGGAACGACTGATATTTAAACATGGCCTTGGTGGACAAGTAATCAATCCACACAACGTTGACCTCCCACAGAGGGCCACAATGCATGCCGCCCGGTACATATGGATCCACAACATCGTCCTCAGTCAATGGTACACGATGAGGATAATCCCGAACAGTGTACTCGGAATCCTGGAATTGGACCAGAATGCTCCGCATTCGTTCCAAAGTCTGTCCCAGTAGTTCATTTTGCACAATGAACTCGTCGATTGGGATCATGCCACGTGATAGTTTGGCATACAAGGAAGCCATCTCTAGTCCAAACCGACGATTGATTGACATGGCCCAAGCCAGTTGCTTGTCCACATTGCCTGGGTCGTTTGCCGCCTGCTGAGCGTCATATTCTTCTCTCGAAACATACCATTCCCGGCTCAAGACCGCTTCGTTACCCGCCAGGATCCCCGCCACTACGTCAAAGCGTGCATACCAAAGAAAAATATGTTGGTGGAGCTCGTTCATGTTGATTGAATCAGGTGTCAAGAGTTCTCGCATCAAGGCATGGGCCGCCTGATGATGGTCAATTAAGTTGACCCAGTCTCCAATGAATTCCTACACATAGAATGAGCATGACGCACTGTGAGAAAATAATTATCACAAATACGAGTCATACCTCGAAGGTGGTAAGCACTAGGACGGTGGCTAACGTGGCCTCATTGTGTGGCTCCCCTGAGCTGAGGGATTTTCGTAAAAGCTTCAAGGCAGTATTATAGTATTTCAGAAACGAATAAAGTCGACCAGTCCCAGTCTGCACGCAATGATGGTACGCCGAGAATCCGACAACGGCGTACAGAAGCGGTTCGTATTGCAACGC